CAATTATTCAAGGAATAAATCAAACTAACCAAAAGCCAGGAAACAAAAGTTTTCATTGAGACTGCCATTCTTACCTTTCCTCCAATTAAACATATATCCTTAACCATGTGAGACTGCATCATTTCAGCCTGTAGCTGCTTATGGCTTAAAGTCTGTATGAAATGGTCTGATTCACAAGGTTGACTTAATGGCCTGGTCCCAGATGGCACCTATAATTAAAGAGAGGTAAACATAATATGCATATGCTTTTCTCAAAATATTAGTAACTTAAAGCACATAACTGCTACTTAAAAGGCTCCCACTAACTCCTTGTTCAGTTCAATTCTATACTGTTTTTGAATAGTATCGAATCAAGCAGCAACTATTTTTTCATTTACAGATCTGATCATTATCATTAAATTTCCAAATCAATCATTCCTCTAAAATTAAAGTCTCATGCTGCCAGTCATATTCATAAGAATCATGTCATTTTCATGCTATTTATAAATTGTAAAAATCATGTCACTACTGGAGAATGAAGTTTTTTCCCCAAATGCCAGTTTTAAGCACAGAATTTAAAATCAGTCCATTAGAATTTCCAGAGTCACTGGTGACCTCTTGATTTCTAAAAGCCATGTCCACAAATCCTTTTCACTCTTATCTTGGTTTACCACTCAGAAGCATCTCTATTCATAAAATCTCTCCTCCCATCCTTCATACCTACCTCTCCTTTTATTTTTTATCCTCTCATTATTTTAGTACCCTGAGGGCCATATGCGCTGCTGAGAACTCTGGACTGGATCATACTATACACAACATGAACCGTAAAGAATGTTAAGTTTGGAAGTAATCTGCATTTAAGAAAGATCGTCCTGGTATTTATACGGAAAGCTAACTGGAAGGCATTGGAGCCAATGAAGTTAGAGAGCCAATATCAAAGAGAAGCAGATAATGAAGTCTTGCTCATACCTCATGCTTCTGAACATACTATTAATATTTAAACTGCCCAAAACGTCCCATACACTCCTGGGCCACTGGAAAAATCCTGTGCCATTCTTTAAGACTTAGCTCAAGTCCTTCCCAATCTCTGAAGCTTTCCCTATTCCTTCTCCTGAATCCCCGTATTACTCCCTTCTCTATATCCCCATAGCCGTTCCAGTGCAGTCCTTACTCATCCGCCTGTACGCCAGACTATAAAGGTCATTCATCTGTAGGAGACAGAGAGTGTAGTGGAAAGTGTCCCTGTCTAGAAATCCCAGCTGTGCCATTTCCTAGCTGGTGACTGACTATGGGTGAATCAATTAACCTCTTTTACATTTCAGTTGTCTCTAATCTATTAAATGGAGATAATAAAACTTACCTCCAGGGCTATTGAGGAATTTAAACGCATAATATATGCAAAGAGACAAATACAATAACTAGCACCCAGTAAACACTCAGTAAATCTTAATATAGAGCCTGGCTCATAATAGACATAATCAATGTTTAGTTCAATGAATAAGTACAGTAACATGAATAAATATTAGTATCATATTAAAACAAAAAAGCCTATCATGAAATTTTGCTCTGCCGCAACATAAGAAGGCAAGAATTTATTCTTTTTATATTCACTTTGTGTTTTGCAAGCTGTGTTTCCTAGTTTTCCATGACCTCTTGGGGTTTTTAGGACCCAAAAAGAAAATGTTAGAAAAAAGGGAAGCAGAGCAAGCAGATGGAGCTCTATGACCAAGTATCATTCCCCTCTTCTAAAAACTATTCAACCAGAACAGCTCCTCATTTAATAGTTTCATGTAGCTGAGAAAAATTTTATTTGAAAAGAGGGTTCTCTAGCAGCTAAAATACGTTTAAAAACACTATTTCTTACCAAGGACTCATAGTACAAAATGCTTTCATTAATCAACCCTTGATTTGATTTTCCCAGAGGTCTTTGGATTTCTGATGAAAGGCTATCCTATGTTTCTCCCGGATTTTTTCAGTTCACGAGCACACATGACTGGAGACATAGATATATAGATATATAGATGTGGTAATATCAAGCCAAAGACTGATATCATAAATTCAATTTAGGTCATAAAAACAGGCAGAATAATGTACATCTTGTAAAGAACAAATCTGTGATTCTTTACCTTAATGGTCACCTCTTTTCCTGCAATCCGGATAGTCACATAAGCTTGGGAGACATGGTTTTCAGTTATCCTCTCCACTCTTACAATCTCTTTAGGAAGCAGAGAGCTTTCTGAATCTTGGAGTTCAAAGCGCTGTCAAAGTACAAGAAATCATGTAATTTACTTTTCATTTTAGTATTAATGTTAGCTATCTGGAAGATTCCACCTTAATTTGAACTGAAGTCCATTCCATGTTATAAAAATAGAGGTAAAAAAAGTTAATAAGAATTTCTTTCCATTTCTC